GCGGAGCGAGGGGGGGAAGAGAAGCCGCGCCCGGAGCTGTAAGGATGGCCGAGCGGGGAGGAGAGAGGAGCCGCTGTCATCCTGTCAGTTTCAGGATGACAGCGGCTCTGTGCGTGGCAGGGGGGATGATCGGTGAATATCAGTGATATTTACCGATCCTCCGTGTGAGAAGGACAAACACTGGAGCCATCGTCTGATCACTCCAGTGTTTGTAAGTACTATGTGTCCCCAGTTATGAATGAACAGGCTGTGATTTACATCACTTCCTGTACATTCATGATTTCCTCAATGGGGAGAAGCACTCAGCACAGAGGCTCCTCCCCATTCAGAAACAGCTGATTTTTATCATACTTTTTAATATGTTTCTTTGCGGCTTAACAAAATAGAAGTCTTTAAATGGTGCGGATATTGGGGAAAATGGGTGTGGTTACGGGGGTGTAGCCACTGAGGGGTGTGGTCACTGAGGGGCGCTGTAAAGCTTTCTCGCACAGGGCGCCTAAAGGCCTAAGGCCGGCCCTGTTTACCAGGGCTGCATTTGACTCTCCACCAGGGCTGCGTTTGAGTCTCACCAGGGCTGCGAGTCGGTGCCAGGCTCTCCAGGGCTGAATGGGTGGGTGCCGGGCTCTATGTCTGTATGGGTGGTGTCCAGTGCTGTACCTATCTCTGCGGGTGCCAGGAAGAAAGAGATATGGGGCGGGACCGGCGCTGTCGAAGACAGCTACGGCAAAGTTCCCAGCAGGCTGCTTGGGGTCCACAGCAAGTGCGGGACCTCATGCAGCTGAACTTGTTGAAACATTTAGAGGGCCAGTATCGGGCCACTTTCAGTAGTATTTGTCCAGTATTGGCACCACTACTGATAATAGTATCTGTATGGAGAGGGGGAGAGAGAGAGGAGAGATAGGAGGGAGAGAAAGGAGAATGATAGATAGAGAGACTAGGGAGTGAGTCCCCAAAGTGAGGGAATTCCCCTGTTAGATAATTGGTGTCTTCATTAGAAGAGTTCACATTTCTTTCTGTTCTGTTGACAACTGTAAAACTCAGTAGAGGGGGTCAGTCTCCTCAACGGGGGCGCAGAACGCAATGGAACTCTTCCACACTCCCCCCCAAACTGTTTTTAATAACATGTCCTATGACACATGCAAGCTTTAAAGTGGATTTAGCCCCCCAGAGTGTTTCACTTTATTTTGTTATGGTAATCAAATTAAGATAGAAAATATTAAAATGAAATCATTCAGAAATGACATCAAATAGAAAAGATTATGAAGAACTTCTGAATTTATTGAAAAAAAAGATTTAGATGGAGGAGCAGAGCGATTCTATATCACCTGTGTGTGAGGGATTCCTCTGCTGAAGTGAGAAGCAGTCACAGATCTGATTTGGGGGTTGAAGTTTGGAACTGGTTTGGATCCGTTGTTATTCCAGCTGTTAGCATCTCCTTTATTAATTCCCAGATACAAAAGAAGAACTCAAAAGGTGAGTATACTACCTTTTATCTTGCAGGGAACTGACCTTTTTTATTTAGAAACCTGACGTTTTCATAGTGACACTAAATTCATAAGTCAAATCTTAAAAATACATTCAAGTACTTTATCTATTTACAGAATTAAAGCTTATTTGTATATCACTCAGCTGTAGATCCTCAAATCATCTCTGAATTGGTGCCGACACTGTCCTTCCTTCTGGAGGGTAGTTACTTTTGTTCCCCATGGTCTCTGTGTGTGTTGTAAAGTAGCCATGGCTCCAAACTCACTCCTGTAATGGACTAAAATCTGAATACAAATTAGTAAACTAAACATGAGATTGTAGTCCATCCCGGGAGCGAGCTTGGAGCGGTGACTACTTTACAACGCATCCATTTACTCCCTCCAGGTCCGGTAATTTCAGTTTTTTCCTCTATTGAAAGATGGAGGAAAAAACTGGACGGACGCGGATGTCACAACGGTGACCTCCATTCCAAACTGCTCTGATCAGGAGGGGATGCGTGTTATAGTGGACGTCCGCCGCAGTTGACTCTCCAAATGCATTTAAAGTTTGGGGTTGAACAGTATTTGTTCCGCAGACTCGGGATGTTTGAGTAATTTAAGGGTCATATATTATTTTATAGGTATTATTTCACCTGCACGCGATCGGGTATTCATAGTGAACAGGAATTTGCTTTTCACATGACTGGATAATTAAGGTGAATATTCACACAAGACTCTCCTCTCCTTCGGTAAATCCTCCTCCATGTTTTTGGAATGTCCACAATATACCGGCGTTATACAAAGTTTTTTTGGGGATTCTTGTTCTCTGTAAACAACTTTTAATGTGGATCCTAAAACCAATTTTCACACAAAACAACAGAATTATTAATTCGCAAAATCGAAAGTTAAATATTGTTATCTATACACATATAAAAAGATCCGGTGAAGGAATAAACCGTCGTAGAAGCAAAGAGTTCAGATGGAAAGGAAGTCAGAGTGCGGGAACGGCGTCAGTCTTTTTCGTCCATCAGATGTTGGGCGTCTTCTGTAGACGTCTCTGCGTTTGTACTGCGCTCGGCTTTTGCGTCTTTTTTCTTTTCCACGTGTCCGATGACGCCACCGACGCCCGCGCCCACGCCTGTTCCGATAGCGCCGAGTGTGACGGAGCCCCCGACCGCCCCTCCGACCACCGCCGCAGTTGTGCTGCCTAGTAAGGCTGCAGCCTCGACGGCGAGCACAGTCCCAGCCACTGCTGCCCCTACAATCCCACCAGCCAGGCTCAGGACTCCGCCTCCTACGGCACAGCCGATGCCCACTGCGCACTTGGTGAACCGCTTTGAGTATTCAGTGCAGAAACTTTCTTGTTTTTCTGTCAACAGGGATTTCATCTCGTCCATGAGCATCTCCTTCTCGGCAGCGTTGTCGCCTTCCAGGATGACCTCATATGTATCCAGAAGAAAAGCGACCTGCTCGCTGACCCTCGCCCTCATCCGGGATGTCCTCACTCCAAGGACCTTAAATGGAGAAGCGTTGGCAGGAAGCTGTAGGAGAAAGGAACCGTGAAAGGATGAGATGTTTGTCCGGCTTATAATAGAACCAGAACATGGGGCGCAACATGGCACCAGCATCAAACCTGTGTGAACAGAGCAGAGAGCTCCCTCCATCTCCTTCTCAAATTCTTTCCTTCCTTTGCTTCTCATTGGGCTAGTTCACATCAGCCCCAGTACGTTCCGACACAAATCGGTGCTGGAAAGAACTGGATTGCATCCTGGCCGGCTCACTGCATCCTGGGGCGAGCGGGGGGTGTGGCAGTGCATTGAAGTCAATGCCACCGTAGCCACGCCCCCCCTTCCCCAGTGGGTTCTCCTGCACCAGAACCCGTGGCACATCAATGCTTGCAGTCCGGTCAGGACAAAATAATGCATGCAGCTCAAGTGCCGGAACACCCTGGGGCTGGTGTTAACGAGCCCTTTGTCTTTATTCTGCTTCTTCTTCTACTTCCTCCTTTCCCGGGCGACTGTCTTACTCTTAGGGATGTATCTATAACCATTTCACTGAGCCACTCGTTCTGCAAAACCCCGAATATTCGTTCTGTGCATTTTATTTTGAAGTTGAATGTAATATTAGGAATATACCACACTATGGCCACAAGGTGGAGCTGATGAGCATAGGAAATAAATACTTCTTTCCTTTGCTCCTCAGCTCCATCTAATGGCCATAAAGAGGTATTTTCCAGATATTACATTCAACTTGGAAAGAAAATGTAATTTTTTTTGCCTCCAGTTGCACAGAACGAATGTTCACTTTCATGGGACGAACGGCTCTGTGATTTGTTATAAATAAACCGCTTAACATAGCAATCTGCTTACAAATGCATCAGCTAATCATTCTCTCTCCTCTTATGGACTACCATCTACTAACTAGACCTTCTTCTGCACTGCAGCCACACCATGCTGCCGGTTCTCACTCCTGACCCCTGCTGGAATTTCTATTGCACTGCAGAACCACGCTGCAGGTTTTCACAACTAACTTTATTAGCAGTCTTTAAATTGAGCTCCGAGCCGAAATCTGATCAACACGTTCGGTTGGCTGGTAATGAGCGGTCTGTTTTCCTACCTGCTGGTCCAGGAAATCCTGGAATTTCTTTAAGATGGTGCTCAGGTGCTTCCGGTTCTCAAGTGAATGAAACATCTGATGAGACAATTGGACACAATGGAGGTTTATTGAGATCTGTAGAAACTAAATTTTGTTAAATCTCACTTTTTTTTTTTTTTACTTCTAAAAGCCACTTATAGTTTCCTCCGGGTTTGGAAGGTTTAGCGTGCAAAGTCGTGATGTTGAGAGTGGTAAAAAGATAGACTGCTGAAAATAATGAAATATCTCTATATACGGGCAAATGTCTATTTATGTAACAGATACTGTCACCTATGCCAAAGTAAGCCAAAAAAAAAAAAGATGTGCCGCGCCCATCGGTGTATATAATAATCCGGCCACTCAGTGTATATAATAATCCGGCCACTCAGTGTATATAATAATCCGGCCACTCAATGTATATTTATGTTAATGGAATAATATTTACACATCATTAGAAGTGCCCAATGTACCCCAATGTTTAATATGATGTAATCATTACCTGCATGGGGGTAGTAAAGCTGTACTGTCTCCTCTGTAACATGATGACAAATTCCTAGAAGAGAACACATTGTGCATCATTGTCTGAACTTCCGAGACACATTCCATTGTTTGCAGAAAAAGAATAACTGGATTCATATTGCCAATTGATCCTGTAGAGAGCTCCTTCCGCTCCATAACTAAAAGTCCATATGTCGGTTCCTCCAGCTCCAGGTCTGTACCCACATAGGTACAGTCCTTCCATTATGAAGCTGGAAGAACCGATATACGGACCTTGAATTATGAAGCTGGAAGAACCGATGTATGGACCTTTAATTATGGAGCTGGAGGAACTGATATAGGGACCTTTAATTATGGAGCTGGAGGAACCGATGTATGGACCTTTAATTATGGAGCTGGAGGAACCGATGTATGGACCTTTAATTATGGAGCTGGAGGAACTGATATAGGGACCTAGAATTATGGAACCAATGTATGGACCCTTAATTAGGGAGCTGGAGGAATCGATGCAAGACACTTATGGAGCTGGAAGAATCGACATAGGGACCTTTAATTACGGAGCTGGAGGAACCGATGTATGGACTTTTAATTACTGAGCTGGAGGAACCGATGTATGGACTTTTAATTACTGAGCTGGAGGAATAGATATATGGACCTTTAATTATGGAGCTGGAGGAATAGATGTATGGACCTTTAATTACTGAGCTGGAGGAATAGATGTATGGATCTTTAATTACTGAGCTGGAGGAATAGATGTATGGACCTTTAATTACGGAACTGGAGGAATAGATGTATGGACCTTTAATTACTGAGCTGGAGGAACCGATGTATGGACCTTTAATTACGGAGCTGGAGGAACCGATGTATGGACCTTTAATTATGGAGTTGGAGGAAGTTATCAATGGATTACAAGTGTAGTAAATGACACCCCACTTGCACTCCACTGAGAACTACGACTCCCTCTACCTTGGTGGCAAATGGGACTTGTCGTGTTTTCATTTACAGATCCTATGAATGGATTTCGGAGGATTCACAAACATTTACACCTCCCTTGTCTTGGACAAACAGTGTCTTCCTTCACACAGCACATGGTGATTAGATGTAGGTGACTGAGCTAGAGAATTAGGAATATTTTACCCTCCCTAGGGCAGGCACACATGAGTCATGATAGCAGCAGATAGTTAGAATTGTAATAGTTCTGCTTCACAACCAATCAGATTCCATCTTGCAGTGGTATGACATCGGTAATGTGAATTCTGATTGATCACTATGGATCGTTACACTTTTCCCCATGCGCTAGTTTCCTATGAGCCTGTATCATTTAATTAGTATGACCTCTGGCCTTCTCTGCGATGGACTGACCTTCAGAGCTCTCCCCAAGTGACCGCAGGTGATCCTCTCTCCGCAGATATCGGTTTTCTGGTGGAGCCAAATTCCTGCCACAAGATCCAGGATGTATCTTGTGAGGTGATCTCTGAAGTCTTCATCCATGTCTGTGAATACAGAAGGAGTGTGACTGGTTGGTAAGAGACATGATGGTGACAAAGGATGTCAGGGGCTACAATTCAACAAAATCCCAGTGAAGAAATGCACCAGGCGGAGCCATTGCGTGTACCACATGAGAAGTTTGTCTGATTGGTGCAAGGAGGACGCACGCTTCACACTTCCATTTGAGCTGTCAATCACCATCTAATAATCAGGTTACTCTATGGGAAGGTGGATTGCCTGGCTTGCTTCCCAGTTGATCTGGCAATGCCCATTGATCAGGAGTTGGGAGTTTTCCTACCATGACTGGACCCTTACATTAAGTGTTATCGAACACCATACCCCCTTTCTGGTAATGTATATACAATATATTACTTTGTAGGAACTAAAAAGTTATTGTTGAATGAATAGGCCCATCACAGGAACGTAAAGATCGCTCTTCTCTATAGGAGGTTTATAGGGGAGAGCTGAACTGGTTTTAGGAGTAGTAAGAAGTGTTTTGTACTCTACTACACTGGATTTCATGCACTACATGATTGGATTCACATATACACTGAGTGGCCGGATTATTATATACACCGAGTGGCCAGATTATTATATACACCGAGTGGCCAGATTATTATATACACTGAGTGGCCGGATTATTATATAAACTGAGTAGCCGGATTATTATATACACTGAGTGGCCGGATTATTATATACACTGAGTGGCCGGATTATTATATACACCGAGTAGCAAGGAGCAGTTCATTGTTAAAGTGTTTAAAGACCGGACTGTCAGCCGAAAATCTGGGTCTGAACGTGCGAATTGTGGCCGTCAGCGACTAGTCAATGTTAGGGCAGAACGGGGGAGGGGCAAGACTGGTACAAGACAACAGAAGGGCAACAGTGCCGTGTCAGATTCCTCGCATCACCTTTCATCATCTCGTGGAGTCACCAGGCGGCCCAACCAAGTACTGATGGGGGTGTCATAATAATCTGGCCACTCAGTGTATACTATGATACTAAGATACACTACGCAATAAATGTAAATAAGCAATCTGTAAAAAAAAAAAAAAGAGTCTACACAGCAACAGTCCCGGAGGTCTGAATTACCTGCCAAGCTGCCCTCACTGGATCTCAGGAACCTTTTTCCTGGGTGGGGCAACAGGAAGCCGCTGACAGATGGACTTCTAAGAGTCTCCAGCAAAAGGCGGTATTCCGAACCCTTCCGCAGCCTTAGTTTCTGTAACAACAATAATAATATGTTCAGGTAATATTTAATTTGGTCATTATTATTATTATACAGGATGTATAGAGCGCCAACAGTTTGCGCAGCGCTGTACAATATAAGGAAGACATTACAATCACAATACAATTCAAGACAAGATGGTAAGGAGGGCCCTGCCCGTGGTCATTATTAATATACAGCATATGGCCAAAGTTTTATGGACACCTAACCATCACACCTATATGAGTTTTTTGGCATCTCATTCTAAAGCCATGGCTATCATTGTGGAGTAGCCTTTCCTTGTGGCTAAAACATTCTCCACTCTTCTGGGGAAGGCCTTTCACAAGATTTTGGAGGGTGTCTGTGGGAATTTCTGTTCTGAGGTCAGGTACTGATGTTGAACGAGCAGACCTAGTTCACATTCGATGTTACAATTAATCCTAAAAGGTGTTCAGTAGGGTTGAGGTCACGGCTGAGAGAAGGACTCTCAAGTTCCTCCACACCAAACTGGTCAAACCACGTCTTTATGGAACTGGCTTTGTGTGAATTTGTGCCAATTTGACCAAGAGAGTGAGGTCAGGTACTGATGGTGGATGAGAAGATCTGGCTCACAATTGGCGTTCCAATTCATCCCAAAGGTGTTCAGTAGGGTTGAGGTCAAGACTCTGTATAGGACAGTCGAGTTCCTCTACACCAAACTGGTCACACCATGTCTTTATGGAGCTGGCTGTGTACACAGGGGACAGTCATGGTGGAACTGAAAAGGGTCTTCACCAAACTGTCGCCAGAAGCCTGGAAGAGCACAATTGTTCTTGCATGCCATAGAATTAATTTCCTTCACTGGAAACACCTGAACTCAATCACTTGAAAGGGGTCCACATACCTTTGGCCACATAATGTAATTGTGATGGTCAGACGTCAAACTTTTGGACATATAGTGTATCTATGATTTTATATATAAAATGACCCAAGGACAAAGGATTCACAAATGCATATATTGTGTTGCTGAGGTCATAGCACTGGTGCTCAACTGACCAAAGCAGCCAATTGATCCTAACTGGGACACATTCAGCAATAAAACCCTCACTTTCTATTCTGCTGGACACAGGGGTGTATCTACTGCAAGGCAAACTAGGCATTTGCCTAGGGTGGCACTTTCCAGGGGGGGGCGGCAGAAAAGGCTGCCCCAAACCAATGAGGTGGACAGGACCGGACTTGCCTCTGGGCATACTGGGCACTTGTCCATTGGTCTGAGGCTGGGCAGCACAGAATCAGCAAGCAGTGGCTGCCTAATGAGGCAAACTAGGCGGCCGCAAGGCCCTGAGGCTGGATGCCTAATTAGAGAGCTGCCCAGGTAGAGGGGAGGGCCCAGTGAGATGTGGTCAAGCTGGATTTGTACAGGACGTGGAGGAGAAGCAGCGGGTGGCTTGTCGCTGGCCATATTGCTCACGTGATTTGATGGTGGGATGTCCCAGAAGCAGGATGGGGACTGCAATGTATCCGGTTGGTACTAATGGCACTTCGAGCTGCAGGTAAGAGGAGCAGCACATGTATGCAGGGAAAGGGACAATTCACAGTCCTCCTGAGACCCTGCACAGCCCACCATAGACCCCACACAGCTCTTCTGAGACCCTGTGTGAGCTATATCCAGTGGGTTGTGCAAAATGTCCTAAACAGGATGGGGTGTGGCAAATTTAGATTGAGGGGGGTGCCCGAATTTAGTCTTGCCTAGGGCAGCACAAAACCAAAATACATCACTGGCTGGACACCCTTCAATAGACAGGAAGTAAGGACAAACCTGTAAAATGGGGACAGCAATAAAAAAAAAAAATATATGTCCACAAAAAAGGTTTTAGGTGGATTTACCGCTGCTGACTATAAGTGAGGAGAACAATTAAGAAACTGAAGAATATCAATGACGTCATAGAGTACATACAGGAGAATGTTTTCCACTGATGAAGGTAAAACAAACCCGTCCTTTTCTCAGCCCTCCTCACTTCTACCACCATACCTGACTCTCATGCTGCAGGTAGTCACGACCGGCTTCACGGCCACAGCGGTCAGGATCCTGCCAGTCTCTCACCAGAAGATCCAAGTGCTACAAAATAATGAAAAAAAAAAACATTTTAGTAGTTCACATGTGGAGTTCCAGAGAAATGAGTTCAAAGTCTTTCATATATTCTCTGTTTTTGAGAAAATAAACCAAAAACATAATGAAAGCTGACTTGTAATGTAGCCATATTATGCATATGTACAGTATTAGAACGTAATCAAGCAACTGATCAGGAAATTGCACAGCTAATCAGGAGCATGCATGTCTGTTGAGGACGTGCCCTTTCATGTAATACTCAGGAACACCAGTACAGTGACCCTGAAGATCGCCCCCGCACATGAAGAGTAAAATGACTGATGGCAGAGAACGCTAAAAGTTGTGAATGGAGGTGCAACGACGGTACAGATCAGGAGAGAGGATCGGTGATGCTGGTCATTCAGACATGAAATAAGGGGTGGGTTCAAGATAGCTGTTGCAGCTCCAAAAGGATTACAGGTATTCCTCACTTAACGACCGAGTTCCGTTCCTACGACCAGGTCGTTAAACGGATTGGTCGTTAAGTGAGGAACTCTATACAGTACTGTATAGCGTTGCCGATGTACAGTACCGAACAGTGTACTGTACATCGGGCAATGAAAATACTTACCGGGACCCGCAGTGAAGATCGGAGGACACCACTTCCGCCGGCGACACGGCGCACTGACGTTGACGCGCAAGGTCGGAGGTCGATCGGTGGTCCGTCGTAAGTGCGAGTGGTCGCAAAACAGGTAAGTCGGTAAGCGAGGAACATCTTGTATATTGTGGAGATGCAACTTTGCAGGGAATTGGGAGTACTCAGATTTAACACCCAAGCCAAGTGTGGGGAAAAAGGTAAAGCTAAAGTTCAGCTTTAACCTTCTACCATGACTGATTTTGGTTGTTGAATTTAGTCCATCGGGACATCAGCACTCTACCATGAAACAAATGGCAGTTGTTGATCACATCACATGACCCTTTCCATTAGCTGCTTATGGCTGTAGCAGTTGATAAAAGCGGTACACATGGATAAGTTCCATGTGACTGAAAGAAAGGAGGTTAAGACCCTTGTGAAAAGAGTGTATAAGATGATTCTCCAGCTACCTGCAGATATTGTAGAGACAATGACGCTCCTGTCAGCTCGGACACATGAAGATACATCTGGATAGACCAAAGAGAAAGAAAAAGCAAAATGTATTAATGAGATTCTCAAACCTAATGGGGCATTTTCCCTTTCAATCTGGCTGATCTAATTTAAAGTGACAGTAAACTCCGGAGTTAAACCTTAAAATTGCATCCATGCACCTAAACTCTGAACAACAATGTATCTTATTTGTGTATCACTCGGCTGTAGATCTTCCAATCATCTCTGAATTGGTGCTGACACTGTCCTTCCTTCTGGAGGGGGGCTACTTGTGTTCCCCATGGTCTCTGTGTGTGTTGTAAAGTAGTCACCGCTCCAAG